AATGTTCGGGTGAAGAAGTTTTAATGCAAGCACTGGTACCTGAGTTGAGAAAACGTCCAGCGTGGGCTGCAACAGTGTGAATTTCCTGGCACTGCCTTGCCACCACTATTTTTTTTCTATTATTATTGTGGTGGAAACTCGGAACAAATCTTGTTTTGAGACATAAGACATCATTATCTTAGCCCAGAGACAGACCAGCCTTGTGTACACAACGTCCTGTGTCATCTGGGTTTTGTTCTTCCCCGGCCATCAGCCTGCTGTGAAGCATTAGACAAGTCCCATTCCCTACGGAGACCCTGTTTCTCCTCCGTGCTTTTCTTCACCTCATCTGTCTAGTTTGTCAGATGTATAGAGCAAAGAGTGCACGTTTTATATTTGCAAACTGCTTTGCGTAGAGGGCTGTGCCCTTTGTAGGGTTTCCTAGGTAGTATTGGAGTAAATATAATAAATAAGTGGATGGAAGTCAAGTTAGCCTTTTTTAAAACAAACAAAGAACAACAAAACTTTGGATCTTAATAGGTTGTTAGTGGCTTTGTTTCTTCCTTGAGCATGGAGTGACACGCTCTGATACGCTTCCCTTCATCTTCCAGTGTTCTTGGTTCTGATATACTTTTAATCTAATGTTTTTTTTTTTTGCTTACAGAGGTTTACAATGAAAATATTGCCTGCCTGTCTGGAATGTGCACGTTGTATTAAAGCCTTGCCAGGGCATAGCTAAGACCCAGAGACGGTGTAGTCCATGAGGGTGCTCTACCACCTACCAACTGAGGAGAACAAGAACATCATTGTTAATGTCAGTTGAGTTTTAAGTACATTAATGTTTTTTCTTTTCCACATGAAAGAGAAGGCAGTTTTCACACAGTTCTTTAAACACATTGAGATCAACGATTCTGCTTCCAGGGTTTAGGAAGCATCTTCCCCAAAAGAAACATGACGGGTTTTCCCTAAGATGTGTTTCAGTATCGTATTATTTAAATTTTAGCAGAGGCTTCTGGAGAACAGTATATTACTTCAGTTCTTAGAATTTTTCAGTCGCTTCAAGGATTTGAAATTGCAAACTTGGTCTTAAGCGAAACAGATACGCAAAATGTGAGCCGCGGCAAGAGTGGGACCAGAGGCACCCAATGCGGGGGGAAGCCCTCTTGCTTATCTGGCACTTCTCCATGGAGCAGAAGGAAAGGCTGCAGGTAGCTTCAGACAGGCAACGGGAGAGACTGCACAGGAGGAGCAGATGGAGGAGGGAATGTCCTATGAGCTGCAATGTCCTCCTGCACCTGGTGCAAACAGGGACTCAGTGCTTGCTGCTGCTGTTTCCAAGTCAGATGTTCCTACCTCGGTCTTCTAAGATATTGAAATTATATTTCCTATTATTTCTGGTATCTTCATAAAAACCTGAAACAAAAATTCTTCACTCTGTTGCCGACCTCACTGTAAATCACGAACAGGTAGCTTGAAATAATGGGGGGAAAGAGATCTTGGGAAACCCTGGTATAGGAAACCAAGAGAGTACTTTCATTGAGATACATAAACCAAAGCACAACTGTTATTTAAATTCTATGCATAGCTGTGAAAAGTTAGAGCCAAATTCTCGTTGTAAATCAGGGTAGCTCTATTAACTTCAGTGGAACAGTGCCAGCACATCCCAGACAAAGACTTGGCTCGGTCTATTAATAGCAACCGTCAAGTAATGGAGCTGCTTGGAGAAGTTCCACTGGAACAAAATTTTGATTAAAAAAATTGAGATAAGAATGACAGAGGAATCTGCCTTCTGGTTCTCTCATGGAATGTGGCTCCCACGGGGTTTGATCCTGTGCACCTCCCAGCACCTCCAGATACTGAGCTTGCACAGCTCAGCGAGAGCCAGCAGTCACTGCGGTGGTCCAGATTTTCGGGTGCAGTCTGTTCGTTTAGATAATGTAACAGCGGTGTGATAGCAACTGTGGTACAGTCTGATTCTGCATTTAGTGTCAGCGCAATCGTTCTCTCAGCTGCTTTTCTTTCTCTGTAGCTTCAGAAAATCCAAGGTTTTCCTTTCACGAGATATCTAAGGTTTTTATTTCTTTAAATCCTTCAATACGCCATCGTGAAAAGGATGGGGAATGTCGTCATCAGCCATTGATGCCTCGTGTTTCCTGTGTGACCCTGTTATTCAGGGATAGACGATTAAATTTCACAGATGCATTTTAGATCATCTCTAAAGAGAGAGAGAACTTCTCCAGGCATCCTGGAGTCGGTTTCTTACTGAAATTTCAAAAAAAGCCCAGCAGAAATTCCCACTGTGCAGTGTTATGCTGTTTTCATTTCCCAGAAACTAGTTAATTTATTTACTGTGCCCCACCAGTCCAAGTTCCCTTTATAGATTAACTTGTGTATTTTGGCTCCTATCCATCTCTTCCTTTGGCTCAAAATGAATGATACCAAGACTGTCTTTGAAACAAGGCAGGAATGGGAAGTTTTTTTGATTAAACAGCAACATCACCCCTGAAACCTCTCTCCCTGCCAGCTTTATGAGGCCCCACTGCAGAAGTACGGTATTGGGAATGGCAGATTAAGGTCTGGTGAGTTCAACCTTTTTGAAGAAAACAGATAATAGAATCATAGAAGAGTTTGGGTTGGAAGGGACCTCTAAAGGTCATCTCATCCAACCCCTCTGCTGTGGGCAGGGACATCTTCAACTAGATCAGGTTGCTCAGAGCCCCGTCCAACCTGACCTGGAATGTTTCCAGGGATGGGGCATCCACCGCACCAAACAGGTTGCCATGTGTAATATTCTGGTAGGATTTGGAAACGGTTTGCATCTCCTCAGGAGATGTGTCACATGGAGCAGCTTGTCACCAAAGGTTTTCAAGACTGTTTGTTTGCTTTCTTTTAATAACTAATCAGTCTTTAGAACTCATTTAAATGAGAATTACTAAACAAGGTAACTGGCTAGTACATACCTGTCTGGCTTGCAAGGTTCAGTCTTTTATTAGGGGTTTGTATTACCTGTGAGCATGTCAGAGGGGTTTGAAGCTGGTAGAGGCGGTTGAGGAGGTCTCACTGGTAGAGTGTGACCACCTCCTGTGTGTCTTCTGTTGGCCTATTAAGTGGGCTGCTTGTTGCAACCTCATTTGTTAAACAAAACCTGCATGCGTCATGTATAACAATCAGAGAGTAAGTGTCAAGTGCTGCTGATAAACACAGGCTGCTTTCTAGACTCTGCAAAAATTGTGTATTTGTTGTACGTGAACTCTAAGCTGGTGCTTTTTCTACTACATTTGCTGTGTTTGCAGGGGAGTTCTCAGCATCAGTCACAAAAATATTTGGCTGTCTTTTAAAATCTGTGATTTGTTACTGACAGCAGAATCTCTCATCGAGATACTCTATCATCTCATCAAGCCACTTTCTATAAGCCTCTGGGAAAGATTTTCCAAGATGTGTATTTTTGAGCACAGATGGAAATGGCACGGAAGCTCACTTAAACGACAAACCATTTTCATCATGTTCATGAAATAAAGTATGATTTGCTTCTTGCTTCTCTGAGGAACAACAGAAGCCTTTAAGGAGGGGGCAGGAGGCTGATAAGACTGATTATAATCATGATTTCTTCCTATTTGATAATTCTTCTGGGTTAATCTGTGCACTGCTTGTTCAGTACAGTTGTCCGTGGGGCACTGACATGTCCAACTGTCCATGTGCTCATATTTCTGTGTGAGATTTTCTCAAAGGAAACGTGGAGACACTGGTGGGGTTTGGGACACACGTTGTGTAATGTCCTTGCAGTCACGTAGTTGCAAACCCCCATGCTGCTTAGGTCAGGGCTGCATCCGTCTGAATGAGAGCTGGGCACCGATCCACGGTTGTGAGCGTTTTTTGGAAGCACAACTCTAAGTCACTTTGAAGCTTCAGCCAGCCAGGTGCATGTTGTATTTAAGCACCTCCAGGATTAGGCAGCATCTGAGCTGGGATTTTCAACCTCTCAGATTTATTTCTAGACAGATTCAGAAACTAGTTTTGATTCTGGCCCTTGATATTTTACAATCATAATGAGAGGGCGTCTTCTAATTGTATGTATAGTCTCTTAGATTTAATGAAGATCTGGAGAACTCTTGTTATTAAAGACTTAGTTGCTCTGTTTGTGATAGAGGAAATGATCATTCCAAGATCCTGATAATTACTGAAGCCAGAAATTTACTTCTGGCTACTCTAAATACTATTTTCAAGTTCTCACCTTGAGCACGTGTGCGATGCTCACTGCCTGATCTCCCCAACTGCAATCAGAATCCTCCCACTGAGTCCTTCTCACGTGTTTCTCTTTCTTTTTAGGATCCTCTAGATATTATTGGAATGTGACTACAGAGAAAAATGTGCTTTTCTAACAACTCAGTTGTGGACATTTAATCAGACTTTGATTTCTGGAAATGCTACAACATGGCTTCGTCTGGGAATGAGATAGAAAGATGGACTCACAGGCAAGGTGGCAGAATTGGGGAGCTGGTAGAGCCTGTGACCTCTCCTGAAAATGGTAATTGTCTTTCACCAGTGAAGTCGATCGGCAGCGTAGATCATCTCTTGCACCTCCCTGGAAGAGTAGACTCTGCTTACAGCTCTTTCTCAGGGGGATCAAATGTTCCAGAGTATCCCACCCCATCGTGCTATGGTGAAAACTGCTGTTTGCCTCCAGAGCAGGTACCATACATGGACTCAGAATACGTAAGAGGTATTTATAATCTCAGTGCAGCAAACTCTGACCTCAGGTGCCTGCATCCATACAAGGTACCAGACCTGAGCATCCATAATAACTCCCACAGCTCCAGTCCCACTGAACGCTGTGGAAGCACTCCTACCCGAGGGACTTTAAATCAGGGACCGCTGCCTCTGGCTGCACCTCCACCTTCTCCTCCCACACGACTTGATAGCTATAAAGTCGCTAGACACCTTGAAAACTCAAGAGGGAGACGCAACTCTGGAAGTCACAGTGAGTGTAGTGTGCAGCCAGCTCCTTGCGTGCAGGACAATCGCCTAGCAGATAGGGATGTACCATGGAGTCAACACAGGGATGAAATTACTGAGCAAGATATAGTGGCTGCTAGGAGAAAGACTCTGGAAAACAAGGGCCTTTCTTCTTCTGATTCTGCAAATGAGGTACGTAGATCAAAAATTCAGGGGTTAAAGACGGAGGAAAATGGAGAGTGGAGCTCATCCCAACAACCTATGAAGAGAAGCAATCCACACATTTTCAGCAGACCTTCTTCGTTCATTTTTCAAGAATATTTAAGGACTGACTCTGTGGCTAATGTCCCTAAAATACTTTCTGCTTATACTTCAGTTCATGCTTATAAAATTCCTGAAGAGATGAACTCCAGGTCCTACCACCTGGTGCATACCAACCCTAGCACTGTTAATGATACACAAGAAGACAAACAGTATCCCTGCAGTGTGCGTAAGCCAGCTTTCAGAGAAGCAGATCTGCAAAGCGCAGTGCCAGAACCCGGCCAACAGTGCCCGCTCCGTGCCGAGTTGCATTCAGACTTGGATCAAGATGTGTTTGAGGACAGTTGTGACTTAAAATATATGGAGAATGCTCTTCTAATTAAAAACGCTTCCAGGAAGCTGAACAGCTGTACAGACGAAAATCAGCGCTATGACTCTGAAGGAAAAATTGGGAGTGACGTGAGGGAACCACTCCTGAGTCAGCAAGCCAAAATGCAGAGATCGTCACTGTCCTGCAGCTACGATACTGTAGAAGCAGAGCACCCTCGCGGTGAGGAGTCGGATCAGGGAAATAAGCAATGCTATGATAATACTAACCAAATGTCTTTTTTCAGACCGGAGGAAGATTCCACATCTCAGTTTTCACATGAAGTCAAGAAAGAAAAACAGCCTAATAACAGCAGTCCTGACCCTAGCACGCATCTAAAAGAAGAGGAACCTCCTGTTCAGAAATTTCAACCTGAATTTCAAAAAGAGCTCTTAAAACAGCTTCAGGATGATCTTGCTGGTGAGCAAATAACCAGGCAGACGACTCCCATGCTTTACTATCTTTCTGGGGGGAAAACCACCAACATCCTGCACCACAACAAGCTTGCCCAATGTCAAGAGGACTCAAGGAGCTCACCGAAGGAATTTCCAGGAAGCAGCTACTCTGCCTCAGCACGGTGTCTAGAGATACAAAGGGAAAGCAATCAGCTTCAAAGGACCAACCACCACCGTCAGCGCAGTGCTGATGATCTCCTGCTTGAGACTGAAGATCTCATTCTTGGGAGTCCTGCTTCATCCACGGATGAGAGTTTCAAGAACGACTATAGAGAGAAACTTAAAGTGGCTCAGAAAAAGGTTCTGAGAGAAACCTCCTTTAAAAGAAAAGACTTGCAGATGAGTTTGCCCATTAGGCTCAGACAGAAACCCTCTAAAAGGCCTTCAATTGAACACCTTAGGTCTTTCTCGTTATCCAGTGCAAGCGAGGATGCCAAACCTGTTCCTTGTTCCCCTCCTCATTTAGAATCCTTGGAAAGTTTCAATAGAGATGAAGAAATTAAGAGGCCACAAAAAGGTCGAATAGGGGGAAGGAAAAGGGTAACAAAGGAGCAAAAGAAACTGTGTTATTCTGAACCTGAGAAACTCGATCAGCTGGCAGATAAGGAAGTACCATGGAGTCAAGTCAGGGATGAAATCACTGAGCAAGATATAGTGGCAGCTAGGAGAAGGACTCTGGAGAACAGAGGGAGGGCACTTTCCAGTTCAAGTATCTCCAGGACGGAGCTGAAACAAATCCAGCATACTGCACTTATTGAATACATGGAACGAAAGATTAATCAAAGGCCAGGTAGTTCACAACACCTCCTGCTGCATAAGCCGCCCCTGCAGACGAGGCTGTCGCATCCCAAATGGCCTCCTGGCAAGGTTTCCAATCCAAACGGGAGCAGGAAGGTGCAAAACAATGAGGTTTTCTGCCAAGTTTTCTCTAAAGAAAAATCGCCAGATGTTTTTCCTCCTTTGGCTTGTGTTCCCCCGCTGAGCGTGACCAGCAGGTGCGACCCCAGCTCTGATGCTGCTGGTACGGCGACCCTGAAGCACAGCCCGTCTCCCAGCAAAGCGGACGGGAGCTGCACCGGCAAGTGTGCGTCAGCTGAAAGTCTCCCGCAGGGAGATGCTCCTGCATCTGGGAGAGCTCACGAGAGATCAAAATCGACTCCTCCTTCCACACAGGTAAGAAAGATACTAAGATAGTAATTACTGTTTGAGTCCAACTTATGCCTGTCTACCTGTTTTAGAGAACTTGTGGCACTATTCACGTGAAAAACTGTTGAACGTCACGAATGAGGAACTTGGTTATTTTTTTTAGCACACAGTAGAGAGATGATAGATGCGGAGGAGAAGCCACGTTTGCTTCATCCATACGGAATGCTGTGTAGCTGTTTGAAAGCAAAATGCATGCTCTGCAGTGTACAGGAGAAGTAATTTGGGGGGATTTTGGGAGAAGTGCTACCAATTTTAACGCGTTAAGTATTTATGATTAATGATAATTCATTATTCTCAAAAATATTTTGTAAGAAAGTATTGCAGACAAACAAGGTGTTCTTTAATGTGAAGAGTTACAAAAGAATTGCAAAAGGAAGGAAACTTCATACCAGCTGACTGAAACGCATATTTGGTCTGGGCAGAGTCACTTGTTATCGTTCAGCAAGTGCACAGGTAAAGGCAGGGAGGAAGAGGAGTGTCCGCTTCAGGGGACACGCTGTGCCAGCGCCGTAGGCTCTGCTCGAGGGCTGGACAACGCCAGGCATGTGAGGGTCCCTCCCAGAGCTACAGGGGGGCGTGCGTGGGGTCTGGCACTCAGAAGACGCGTTTGCAGAGAACGCGTGCTGTATGCAGGGTGACGCTGTTTGTGTTTCAGCAGTCGCTGTTGTTAACTACAGCAGCTTCGTTAGAGCGCTGTCCCAGAAAAGGTTGTTATAGAGGGATTTTTATAAATGACCAACCTTTTTGGGTCCTGAATCTGAAGGACAGTAGCTGTCAATATTGTTGTCAAGGAGAATAAAGAAGACAAAAGGTTCAGAAAAACAAATAATCCAATATACTACTAAAATTACCCAACTGAAGAGGCTGACAAACTTCCACCAATGCTGCCTATTTTCTGAATTGTTGAGAGTCAATGAGAGTATATATTTTGTTGCTAGCAGTTCTTTGGTTTTCTAGGAAAAAGAGATGGTTGCTACCTAAGAAGAGCATAATAGCAATTTCATTAATAAAAGGAGATAGGCAAACGCAAAAATAAAAACCTTGGTCAACCTACTCAGAGATCTGCTGTTGGCTTCTGTTTCCAGAGATAACAAAAACAGGAGTAAAATTAAGCAGCTGCCTAGTCTGAAAATGCTGGTTGTCCTAGTGTGCTGTTTTCATTTCCAGGACACTCACAGATGTGCCGGTGGTGCAGCGGCACCGTCTCGGCGTTGCGAGAGCTGTCTCGGCACCCCCAGGTAAGGCTGCGAAGGCTGTGCCTAGGTAGAGCCTATATCCAAGGCGTGTGAGCTCCAGTGGCAGCCGTGGTTGTCCGCTTCTGTCCTTGTGTCTTGGGATCCTTCGTTGTCCATGTGGGAATATTCATCCGCTACACTTATTTGTTTCATTTTGGGGCAGTCTTTAAAATCATTTCTACTGTCTGGAGCAAAAGCGGAGAATTCAGAGTGTACCTGAGCTGCTCTCCCTGCGGCAGCCACTCTTCTTCAGATATCTGAGATCACAGCTCCCTCATCCGAGCTCCGGCGAAAACAGCACCTGCCACAGCTCGGATATGCCCAGTCCTGAAAAATCTGTGTAATCACGGAGTGGTGTAATAGGGCCTTTTGGTCTGGTTTTTCTTAAAGGAAAAAAATACTGTGCCGTTTACACATAGCTAACTAGAAAGTGTGTGTGTTAACTCTTGACACTTATTTGCTTGTTTGAGGAGCATCGGGGAAGAAAAAGATCTGAACTTTGTCTCAACGAAACACCTCCTGCCACAGCTCGGATATGCCCAGTCCTGAAAAATCTGTGTAATCACGGAGTGGTGTAATAGGGCCTTTTGGTCTGGTTTTTCTTAAAGGAAAAAAATACTGTGCCGTTTACACATAGCTAACTAGAAAGTGTGTGTGTTAACTCTTGACACTTATTTGCTTGTTTGAGGAGCATCGGGGAAGAAAAAGATCTGAACTTTGTCTCAACGAGGCAGTGACGCTGACACTTGTGTAGCAATCGAATTTCCACTGTTTCAGTCATTCAAAAAGATCCAAAGGGTTTCTGCAGGCTTGATTATCTTAGGAAAAAAATTGTATTTTTGGTAAGATTTTGAAGTTTTTCTTAGATTTCCTAAGAGGCTTAGCAGGTCAGCATGAATGTCACTGGAAGTTCTGGACAGAACAGTAACATCAGAAACATATCTGATCGTAGCTCTCTAATACGTACTAAGTAATGAAAAGATGAGAACTCCAGAACTGGTTTCATTAGTAATTAATTTAGATGATCATCTTTGGGAGATAGCTGTAAGTACAGGTTTCATTCTGTTGTAGTTGTATCTCATTTTTTCTCTTTGTTTTCCTCCATGAGAAAGTGCTGTTGGGCTGTCGTAGAAAATCCAGACTAGACTGGAGATGTTTGCAGTATTAATTACTCAAATAAAAGTTCCAGCTGGGACCAGCAGGAAGAGCAAGCTACGATCATTACCCACTCCGATAGTGTCCGTAGGTTAGTGGAAAAAAGCTTGAGAACTTTACTGTGCATATTCTGCATTCATTCAATTCCACAATATAATTTTGAGGTAGTTTTCACTGATACTATCCATTTTCTGTGCTAACTGCTGCAGATAGTTTGTTCAGCCTACAAGCTGGTCCTACCCCCTGCCATTGCAATGAGGCCTGAGAATGAGTAAGAATAAGGCCCGGCAATGCTTGCGGTGATTTTCTTAGCTGTCTCTGTATCTCTTCTTTTCATCATCTAGCACTCCATAAACATTTGTCAATCCATGATCACAATATTGCATCGTCACCACGTTAATTTGAGTATCGCAGCGCAGCATCACGTCGTGATGCCGTGGTGTTTTGCAGGGGGTGTTTCTAGCACCTTTTTGATGCAAAGGCTTTCCAGCATTAAGGGCATCACTAAATCGCCAGGACCAGGTGGTTCAAGTCAAGGTCAAATGAGTTTTTTATTTTTAATTGCAGTGAAAAGGTGCACATAACAGATAAGGTATCTCTTAAGTGACATTGTTAGTTGTTATCTAGTACGAACTATGATTAAATTTCCCTTTGCCAAGATGACTTCATTTTTTTGATGAAAAGCTAAAGCGACTCCGTTAAAGCTGCAAAGTAGAGCTGGAAGAAGGGAAACTATGAGAGAAGATGGAATTTCAGAAATAGCAAGACTTTCATTGCTGAGCTACAGCACGGCTCAGTTTGGCCACATGAAAACCTTTGCATCTCGCCAGCGCCTGCTTGAGCCGGGTAAGCACAGCTCAGCTGCAAACCATCCACGCCCTCCACAGAGCCCCACATCTGCGGCAGGAAACCTGCCCGGACAAGCAACGGCTGGAGATAGCGTGGGGCTCGCGGGATTAAATATAATAGTCCAAGCATGTGGAAGCTTTCCTAGCACAACACAGTCTGCTGGTATTTTCTTAAATCTAGAGACTGTTCTGTGTGTGTGTCTTCACCGGGGGTGCTGCAGTCTCCACTGTTAGACATTAAGTGTCTTCATCGCTCTCCACTGCCCCGGTCTCTTTCAGGAAGAGAAAATGCCTACCTTCGTATCTCCACATATGGCTTAGGAAAGACTCACACCATCCATAGAGACAGGGTTAACTAGTACCTTTAAGGGAGGGAAGGACCGATTGCTGCATTGCTTTTATATGTGACCTTAGAGGAAGAGCTAAACGAAGGTGGACAAAACCTGCAGTGAGCTCCCTGTGCCTGTTTTGAGGGAGAAAGTTTTTGCTTTGTGCCTACAACTTTGAAGCTCCTATGTCAGGTTAACAGTTAAATCAGGGTTTATAAATCTTCCTTCCATCTAATTCCTCTAGCTTTCCTCTCTACTGTCCCCTCATAATCCTGTTATGTTATGAAAAATTTTGCTAGAGGAAAAAATAGGTTTGTTCATTCAGTCATGACTAATACAATAGTATTTATATATACAGATGCACCGACTATTTTCACAAGCAGTTCCATGGATGTATACATGAACATTAGTGATTGCAGAAGATGGTCTATGCGTACTCCAATCATCTTGTATTCTTGCAAATTCTGGCCCAAAGTGTATTTTTAAATTACGTATCTCTACTTATTCTGTCATCCTGAATATAATTATTTATGCCCTGCAGACAGTAGCTTTTTCCATCAAAGTTTCTTCTGAAGTGTTGCATCAGAAAACTCAAAGCACTGGGTCAGACGTGCATTGGCCAACTCAAAAGTAGAAGTTTGATCTCAAAATGGTTAACTGAAAGGATTTAATAAAACTTTTACTCAAGTCTAATGGCCATTTCAAAACAGAAGCCTCAGATGAGCAGTGTTTCCTCTGTTGGTATTCAGTTTGCCTAAAGAGAAGGAAGCACTAGATGTCTTCTCTAAGAAGGACTGAGAAGTGATGCACAGGAGACAGCGACGGCGTAAACCGGTTCCAACTCTTGGGCTGAAACGTTCTCGCAGTAGAAGTAAGGTGTAAGGAACAAGACGGTAAAGGTTTGCCCTCTTGCAATACAGTCACTGTGTTACAAGAGAGCTGGTGGAGGAAAATGCAAAGTGCAAATCGTCCTCCTGTTGCTGCCAGGTGGTGCCCAGATGTGGCCTGAGAAAGTAAAGGTCTCGGCAAGCCCCGGTCCCCGCAAGTGTCTTGTCCTGTTGGCAGCGTGCTCGCCAAGGCGAGTGGGATGGCTGCGTGCTTTTCATCCATTGCTCAGACAGCATCAGTGTGACGTTTCGGGGCGCTTTTCACTACGGGTTTATTTCAGAAAACATGTATGTTGGTCATAATTAGAAAATGAGAAATTTAATGGGGATTCAAACAATGGGGAGTGGTGCAGCTAGACATTTCACATACTCCCTTTTTTTCCCAAGCAAAACTAATGGGTATTATGGGATCTGAATTTAAAAAACTTTACTAAAAGGAGAAAGCTGGAAACGTAATGATGATTACCTGTAGCTGCTTAAACAGTCTGCAAAAATATCTATTGTAGAGGAGGTGTCTGGAACAAAAGGAAGCGTCTTCTTTCTTACAGTTTCCGTGATCCTGAGAGAGATGGATGTAAGAATCATGAATATAAAGACAATGACATAATTGGACGTGCATGTTGTCAGGATACTAAGGAGCTGACTCCTGAAACCTCTGTTCCTGTCCCAAGAAGTGGAAGCAAGGAGGATGCTGAGGTGGAGGAGGAATGCAGAACGAAATCTCTGAATGGCAACGCTTTGTTAGAGAGTCCAGAGCAGCAGCCTGCACCTTCTCCAGAGCGAGTAATGTACTGCCACACAGCGTTAGCTCGGCCTCACCAAGGAGACAGAAGTACAGCCAAAGGTTTAATTGCAAAGGAAACATCTGTGCACAATAGCCAAGATGATACTTTCCCCGAGAGAGAGACAAATCTGCCCAAAAGGAGACTGCAGTCTCCTGAAGACCAGCGATACGAAGAGCTTGCTATGGAGATCATTGCCAAAGACAATTCCCTGGTTGATATTCTCATGCCTCATCCTGTTAGAAAAACTGCTCTAGACCTGATGGAGGGTCTTTTTCCTGTTAACATTTCCATGCTGGATAAATCACACAGAAAAAAGGGAGACGTACAGCATGCGCAGGAGAATGAGTAAGTAGACAAAACCAATTACCCAGTATTTTAAGCTATTTTAGCGAATGAATATCGTGTATACACTAGTAGTAAGATGGCGTGAGCATAATTTTTTATTTTTGTTTCATTAGCAAAATATTTTAGCTTTCCGATTTACATATCAAGAAATATCTGAGGCTATGGGTATATGACGGAAGAAATGTGGTTCAGCGATACCTTATTAAAAGGGGCTGTGACAAACCTGGGCTGCAAATCTTTTGCTCTGTATCTTTTAAAAACTTAGAAAAATTGCTGCTGTGAGAAGGGAGGAGAGTGATTCTGAAGTCAAGATGCATAAAAACATGAACGCGATGTTTGCGAACAAAACTCTGTTTGCCACAGGTATTTATTTTCTGTTCCAATAGCAGGAAAAGTAGTAAAGATGCAACAGAAGAATGTCCTGTATCTGAACACAATGCCAAGCAAAGGAGCGAAGATCCTACCTCTGAGGGAAACCAAGTCCTGGATCGGAGCAGAGACAGCACAAACGGCCTAGATGACATCACGTCTAAGAAAGTATGTAGATGACCATCAGAGGAACTGCTGTTTCTTCACCACGACAAGGAAGTTGTTGTTAATGTCAGATACATTACTGTGGATATTTTTATTCATGACTTTTATCCCAATGACAATGTTTCACAGATAACTTTGAATCCATTTTTGCGGGTAGGTGAAGTCCTGACAAATGGGCATATCGATTGTAAATGGTGATGCTGAAATCCTGCCTGGTTTGGTTCAGATCTCCTCCCACATACGTCTCTTCAGCAGCTCATCGGGGATGGGCTGTATCTGGAGCAAGCACGCCGGGCTGGTTATACATTTCCTTGCAAGGCCAGCTCCTGTGCAGCAGCTCGCTCACAATTTAACACTCAAATCTGGACTCAAAATCTGTAAAATTCATTACAACTGGCAGCCTAAATAAGAAATATTTTTTACTCTGAGAGAACTGGCAGCAGTGTCTGTACACTACAGTGCCCTCTTAATTTCCGTATGTGCAGGGAATAGAGGTAGCTTGGACATAGCTGGACTACGAGAGAGATACGGCAGCTTGGAAGGGCAATACGTAGCTTTGAAGAATTAGATAATTATTTTTTTTCCTGTAGAGACCTGGCCATGCTCCATCCCAGGTAATGACAATCTGCCTTCCTCAAACTCCTCCCGCTGTGCGTGCGGTGATATTTTTCATTACTCAGTGTCTAACTGCTGCTCCTGTTCACGGTGCCGTTGGCTGATTTCCAAAACAGCCGATAGGGTTCTTCCCCCGCTCCGGTCTCGGGGCCTTTTTCCATACCAACATTTCTGTATCAAACAGCCTCCCCCGCTCGCTTCGCTACCCAGGCTCTGTGGCTTGCTTGGATCACCCGTGGAACTGACTACTTCTGTGTGTATTATAAATGAAATTCCAGTCAGTTCTTGCAAAGCTTGGTAACAGAGCTGTGACTTCATGCTCATGTCTTAGAGCATAACCGTGTGTAATCATGTTGTAATCTTTACTGCAGTTCACTTCTGACTGATTGGAAGCTCTCTGAGCTAGGGATTATGTCACCAGTTAAGGCGATTACCAGTAATTTGCTTTTCAGAGTTTGAGAATGAAGTACAACTTAGAAAACCTTTCTTTTTTTTCTTTTTCTTTCCTAGAGCTTAAAATTATTTTAAAAGTTCAAAATTTGGCAAAGACGATGTGAGGAAAATCCATTCTCTAGAAATGATATGGATTCTCTTTGGCAATAACAGCTTTCTATGATTTTTTTTTTTTTCCCTTTGTAGCTGGAACTCATCTCCACTCTCCGGTCAAAGCTGCAGACCCTGTGGGAGGAAAGGGAGCTCGTCCTGTCTGAAGCCAGGGAGTGCGCCGAGCGAGGCGAGGAGCTGGAGGCAATGGTGCAGGACGTCTGCAAGCCCAATGAGTTTGAGCGCTACATGATGTTCATCGGTGACCTGGAGAAGGTTGTGAGCCTCTTGCTCTGCTTGTCCAGCCGCCTTGCCCGAGTCCAAAATGCCATGAGGAGGATCGATGGCAATACAGATGCTGAGGAGAAGGTGAGTGACAAGTGAGCAAGATAATGTAATTTTTGTTCGCTTCTTTCCAGGTGGGGCTGTGCTCGCCTCATTCGTCTGACCGCTCTAAACAGAAGTTGTAAATCATACATGAATCCCAGCCAGCCATTGCCCAGGCAGTGTTTAGTGCCACGCATGGGGCTGTGTCTCCACGGCCGAAGCAGAGTGGACCTCTGGTGTGGACCACAGGCCCAGTGCTGGAGAACAGAAGCGCGGAGTGAGCTCTGCAGCTGGGTGCTGGGGTGGCAGCAGCAGCAAAACCCTGAGGGGTCCGAGCCAGAGGGGTGGCCTTTGAACCCTCGGGCTGCTCCCTGTGGAGTAGCTCCAAGCCTGTGCTTTTTGTTGGTTGTTTTTTTTTTCCCCCACTGGTAATTCCAGGGCGGTAATTACTGCCTTTTGAAATCGTATTTCACTTAATGGGCTTAATTATAGCGAGCAGGAAGAAGATGTGGTCGCAACTTGAGATAAAATTCCCTGTAGTTTAACTCAACCAATTTTGCTGGAAAATTAGGAACTGTCTCATGTCACCAGGAAATCTTTTCAAGTCTGAAATACACTTTTTTGCTAGAGAAGACAAGCCAAATTTATCCCAGGAATGATGCTTTCCTGCTGTCCTCATTGCTTTTAAACATGTTTTTATCAATACAATACCTGCTGTTATCTCTCATTTGGAAATTAGAAAAGCACAGAGTTAGAAAAACTGGGATTTCCTGGAGCTGTGCTGCTGCCGACCTGTGGCTCTAGAGGTTTATCGCAGTTCACATGCAGAACGGCACTAAAAGAGTCCTGCCCTGCAGTGTGATATGGAGAATCAGGATCTACCCGCTCCAAAATGTCAGTCGTGTTAACGTGGATAATTTTGAGCAGTATTTCCCACTGACTTTGGCTTTGTGGTTGGCAGGCAGGCTGCTGTTTCTTTAGTGTTACGTTTATACTCTTCATAGTAAATGCACTAAAATAATTTATTCAAGAATTTGAATAACATGCTCAATAAAGACTCGGTTGTGTGCCAGCATTTTCACAGCCATCTCCCAGTCGCTGCAATTGCCCCAAGGTTCGCAAGACCAGCAGTCTCAATCTTTGACTCCATTTTTAGGGTGTCGATGGTGACCGTTGCTCTATGCTATATTTATGGACACAGTCCTGAAGCTGGACATTTTCCAGCAGTGCTATCCCTGTGAAAATCATTACAGCTGAAAGAGAATTAGCTAGGATGTGAAAGGTATTAAAATCCTGTAGAACAGGCAAGGCTTGATTCTTGTGGGTTTGTTAAAAAGAAGCCTTTAATGAACAGTTACTGTCTGCATCAAAGTTCCTTTATCACAGGTACCTTTTAATAGAAGTCACATTATCTTTTTAATATGACATTGGCACTCTGGCCACACACAACTCTCAAAATACAAAGATATGTGCCTTAAAGAGCTTCTAATTGAATGAAGATGGATACAGGATACTTAAAATTACCGGAATGTTAAGTATATTGATTTTTTTTCCTGAGGGCAGCATGGAAGAAGTGAGCCTTGATGGGGTTTACTGGGTGTCTTTACCTTACAAGCCACAAGAATGAGTAATTCAATCGAGGAAAAAAACTCATGTGGAACACAAAGCCCACAAGAGGAAGTAATTAAACTAAATCGACTGTGGCTTCCAAATGAAGATCTACAGTCTGCCAGAAATGATGAGTTTTCATAGTGTGCTGCTTTGTTTTTCCATCCTCTTAGCAATCGCTGAATGAACGGCACAAGCTCTTGTCTAGACAGCGGGAAGATGCAAAAGATCTGAAAGAGAATAGGAAAAGAGTGGTCTCCGGTATCCTTGCCAAATACCTGACTGACCAGCAGCTCCAGGACTACCGACGCTTTGTTCAAGTCAAGACCTTCTTGCTGATTGAACAGAAGGACCTCGAAGAGCAGATTAAATTTTTCGAAGAACAAGTAGAAAATCTTGAGAGAAGCATCCCGCTCTAATACCCACCAGCAGACCATCCGTCTGTACGCATCGTGATTTGTGACGTTTCCCTGGAAATCCCCACGTGCTCGGTTTGGTGAACTGCCATCCCGTTAGCGCCACGGTATTGACAAGTGCTTAGATGCCCTGGGGATGCTCTAGGCACACACTGGACGTGCCTTCCCCTTTGGACAGGCCAACTGACAGCATCTTACAGTATGTAGCAGACTGTGTTTTGGAAATGACTGATAGGATGTGTTGCTCCTATTACCTTGGCATGTATTTCCCCTTCTTGTTGTCTGTCCATCTGTTTCCAGATTGACATAATCTCAATAAAAGAACGTTACAAATATTTTCCTCTTGTCGGTGGGCTGAGTGTTTGAAATGAAAAATGATGTGGGTGTTCAAATTTGAATTGGAGATTGCACAAAGCCGTAGGAAATGTCATGGACCACTTCAGTGAAACTCCTGCACTCGTTTCGACTGTTTATATGTATGACATAGTAAAAATACACTGCGATGGAAGAGAATCATTATTTCCTTTCTTGGCAGTTGCCACCCATGAGTCTTTCCTGGCTCTCTGTAATCCCGGTAGGCTGTTCAGTAGTGGGTCTTACAAGGGCAGAAAAAAGGGTGGTCTGCGTTGGCATAGACTAGCAAAAAGAGGCAGTCGGTGATGAAGACTGAAATGAACACTTTTGGGAATGATAAACTCTGAGCTTATTCCTGCACAGTCATTTGCAAAGTCCTTGCTATGCTTTCAAAGTGTTTATTTTTCAAGCAGTGTCTCCAGGGGGTTGGTTTTAGGTAGTTTTCAATTGTCAGCATGCGCAAGAAGTGCTGAACGTGGGGGGAAAGCTCTGCTGCAGAGTGAGGTAGGTGGGACGAGTGGAGGAAACAATTCAGTTTCAATGAGGCTTTATACAAATCCCTCAGCAAAAATCTTTTAAACTAATGTTGCGTGTTGAGTCAAACCAGTGATGTTGCTGTATTCAAAATACGAGTGTTTTGTTTGTTCGTTTTTAGGTATTCGGTGAGAGGAATATTCCATCTGAGGTACATACCTAGACTATGAATAAGGCAGCTACTAATACAACGCAGGTTTCTTCCACAGGCAAAATAGATGTTCATTGTTCCACGATGGCAGGTTATACGAGGAAATGTTTTACTAGTGGTGTGCGTCCTGACTACAGTAAGTATCGTCACCACTGAGAGAAACTGTCCTGTTCCTGAGGCATCTTCTCCTTTGGGATTGCATGAGCTTTCCATAAACACACAACCACCCAGCATGGGGAATCGACGTGGGTTTAAATTGATGGTTTGGGTTCGTTTTACCTCAGATCGCATTCTTCATCTGAGTTGACGCACGGGGCAACATGAATGAACTGATCAAGAAATGACAGCATACAAAAAGGAGACCACCGTACGCATTCTGCCTGAGCAATGTTTTAAGGACAACTTGCCAACACTCCTACCTGCTGAAAGAGGGCACCGGAGAGGGTACGGCGTGCTGCACTTGCCCATGAGCAAATTGAGAAGTGTCCTGGGAGGTACACGACAGTGCAGTGAAGCACAAATAGCTTGCCAGGCTCCAAGGTTGTCAGCTGCTCTGTATTTGTCTTCAGAATAAACGAGTGTATCACCAGGTGCTGTCCAGAATCCAGCAAAGAAGCATGGTTCTGTTCTAGGTTTGCATATTTATGCAGAAGTACTCGTATCTATAGCCCTGCTCACATTTCAAGAGAAACGACATAGTACCCTGAGTAAGGCTGCGAAGACTTGGCATCAGAAGTCAGTTCTATGATGGGTACCAACTGTCAGTAAATATATTTGAAATGAAGTGTGCAAGTGGATGGTATATAGCAAAGAGTAGTTTTATGAATATTAACATTTTGTTCCCGTGATCTGAACAAAATAGACCACGCTTAGTGCTGAAAACAGTTTCACTGGGCACAGGTAACTCCAGGATTGCAGTGACCAAGCTGCCGTGCGTACTGTGGTTATTGCCTTAATGCGTGGGGGAAAATGGCCAGACGCTGTAGATCCTGTGAGTAGATCTGCTCAGTGGTTCTCAAAAGGCCAGAAATGCAGGCTTTTAATAGGTAAATCTGAAAGCTGCCTTTTGAAAATGGTCTTTAAAATAACAGAAGTGATGCTAACGGAATCAATGGAGAATTTAAAAAACATGAGCTATGTTAAATGAGCTGTTTGCATTATTTGAGAAGCCTGACTTGAAGGTGCACTCTACTATTATTATTCCTAGCTGAGGAGAATCCACCTGATTGGAAATAAATGTTTGATAAGTGAAGCTAATGCTTACCTTTAAGGGAAAGAATGGGTCTGCCCTGTTTAGTTTCTCTTACCTTTTTGGTCTTTGCGTCATGGGGAGGGTGGTTGCTGCTCCTACCACGCTGGCATTCACAGGTATGCTTCAAAGAGCAACAATTAGAAATAACTTTTCATTTATGTTCCAAAAAGTCACATATCCGTGCCCCTTGTTACTTTGTTAGAACTGTGAATTTCAGGCAAAGTGAAAAATGGATACAGCGATGACATCGAAACCTCTTTGCTGGCAAGCAGAACCCCCCTTCCCAAAGCACGAGCAGGTTTGGATTGTCAGGTGGGTCTCGATTTTGATATCGATCTGTTATCGATGTATTACCAGGGGCCAAGCCCAAGGTAATGGCTGTAGTTCACACTGGACCTAAGTCACGTGCAGCGTTCCTGGCACGCCGACATACTAAGATGCGGGCTTTTAAAATCACAGTCTGATGTGCAAATGCAAATAATGATTTAACCTGATCCCATCTTAAGAGCTTCACAGAGGGTCCTTTTTAATAGCTAGGAGCGGCCCTGTGTACCTCTGAGACGGGCGAAAGGCTCTTTGGTTACTCAAAATTGCAGCCATTACCTGCAGGAGAAAGGGATGCTCCCTGTTCTTAGCGAGGGGCTTGCATCTCCTTCTGGCAGCGTGGAGTGGCACTGAGGTGGCATGTGCTGGCCAAGAACTCCCTCTCTAGAGGGCAATGCTCCTTCTTCCTCAGCTGCTGGGAGAAAGGACCGCATCAGGCAGGTGGTGTCCACATCCTCCGGGTGATATTCTTGTCTTCACATCCGTTTAAATTACTCGCGTAAAATTCTTTCTCTGAAGTAGAGCTTGCACACTGAGCTTGTTTGTGGGGCTGGCAGGACGCTGTCCCAGTGAGTGAGACCTTGAATCATCCTGCAGCTCAGCCAGTTTTACATACGGTAAGCGTCCCTCTCTGCTCCGGTCAGCTGTAAGTCTTTAGAAGTACAGACTGAAGTCAGGAAATGGTTGAAGAACCATTCTTGACTTGAATGGGTCAAGAAGTACCTGCTTTTGAATCCTATATGGGGAAAAAAGAGGGGTTGCCTTTTTCTTAAGGTTTAGTATGTAAAGCACTAATTATGTCCCCATACCAATAACCATCACTTATGTGGCAGCTTTTTCCCAACTTCAAGTCATGCAGTTTAGCTGATATTCCCTTAACTTTATTCTGGGGAATAACATGAGACGACTTCATATTCCAGCCTAAGCTGCCTGAAGAGCTCTATAAACAGACACATTTCCTACAGCCTTCCCAGGCTCTCCCTTCTCCAGCCGTGGTGGCCCCTTCCACGGGTTCCTGCAGCAACAGAGAACAAAACCCCAAGTACCTGCAGGCATCTGCCATCGCTGCAGCGCGGAGGCAGCCGACCCGGGCCTCGGCCGGCACCGCCGCTGAGTTCACGCAGCTCCCCCCGTTTCTTCTGCCTTCCTTTCCTCCCTCCTGGAGTGCAGAAGCCGTGATGGCCAGGAATGCAGAGCACCTTCTTTTTACAACACTGTGATCCCACACTGCTCCAGACAGACTTTTCTGACCCTATACGGGCAGGAGACAAATTTAACACCTGAGCTGTAAATAGCAGTGACTGGTGGTGGTCTTCGGGAGGCAAATCTTGCAAACGTAAGGATTATGGAAACGAAACCCTGCGCAGTGCTTGTACATTATGACTATTAATACCACTCCTCACTAGCCTTCCGCTTGTGACTTCTCCAGCAACGATACTGAGTTGCCTCTGCCCAGCATGCGTTAGACCAGGGAAGCCTTAATGCTCTGCTCTTCTTGCCAGCTGCTGCCCAGAGCCCTGGAAAGCTCTTGGCTTCCAGGGGCTTCGGGGCCTTGGCAATTCACCAGTGCTGGGACCTGCTGAGCTGCTTCTTATGCAAACAAAGGTGTGGGTGCGTTAGGGGAATGTGAGGAATGAAGGAGCTCCCTGCTACCTGACCCCCTGGGGAGAGCAGGCAGGAAACCCCAGCTGCTGCCCAGCCGCAGGCAGCGGAAGGCTTGGGAGTCTCCTGTGGCAGCCTGCAAGCCTAATGCCTCCTTCACATCCCAGGCAGAAGGTAATGTGACCCCACCACCACCAGAGGAGGGCTATCGGTGAGCTGTCCGTATGACTTAATTACAGCTACATCCAGGAGAATGCAAAATAGTCGTGCCAGGGAGAAGGAAGAAGGTGAAATAGGCAAATTGGAAGAGCCTAGGTCTCCCCCGGGGGGTGCTGGCTGTGGGGAGGCTGGTGGGATTCCAGGAACAATCTCTCTAACTCATTTGGCCATCCACGCACAAGCAGCGTGGGGGAAGAAACTGCAGTAGTTTATGTTCTGCTAAGCAAAAGCAGGTGGGCCTGATTTCAGGATAAAAAGATACCTTTTATTGCCTAGAGCCAGAGAGACGAGCAAGCGTTACAGGTGTGGGGTAGAGCAAGTGGTCAGTGGAAGCAGACAGCGCATCGTGCCCATCTGACAGTGTCTTGGCAGCAATGGCAGGGATTTTAGATGTAGCGGCTCATTTAGAGTTTGATTTAACACCCACTGCAATGTGTGGGAGTCGCTGCTGGATCGGGAGCTGCTGTTCCAGCCTCTCAGGCACTAAATTGAAGGCTCTTAATTTATTTTTTTTTAAACCCCAGCCTCATTTTCTTCACTGGGGTGTTATGCTGTGGGACTTTGCATGTGGAGCTAATTAAGGAATGGAGGGGTGAAGGGGTTAATATAAATGTACTCTGCAAAAGATCTATTTGGTGCTTGTGAGAGCTGCGTTTAGTGAGTAGAAGGATGTTCTCTCTGCTTTGGGAATTCATGGCAACCATCTGAATAAAATTTTAAAAATAAACTCAGAGCAGCATTGCA